ATTTGTCGGATTCTTTCAATGTTTTCATGGTGTTTTTCATTCAAAACTATGTTTTTCATCAATTTTGAACATGTTTTTTGTTTTCGTACATGAGTTTTGAATAGATATGATGAATGTGTGGGAGACAAGAGAATTTGAATAATGATGATCGCACAAGTGAATATCTAAACAGACAATTGCAAGTGAACAAACATCCTCCACGCAATGCACGTTGTCGTCTACACATTGGTTTCTCTCTGCTTTTTTCCTTTGTTTTTATATCGACAATAAAGAAAAAAAAACTAAAAAAAGAGAATAAAATAAAAATAAATTAATTGATCATGGTTTGCTGCTCCCTAGCCCGACAATCGATTACCAATTTTCACTTTTTTATTTTTCCCCACAAATTAAATGACTTTTTGAGTTCAGATAACTTCATCACTCTTGCTATTCTTCTCATTCTTTTGATTAAAATAAGCCAAAAAATATGATCGTGCATTTTGAAAAATAAGAACTCGATTTGCCTTCATGGGAACATAATTATATGAACACGACTAAAAAAATATTCAATATTAAAAAATAATAATGAATGGTCTGATATCAATTCGAAACAAGAGAGTAAGGACGACATCGAAACAAGCAGCACGTCAATCAAAACAGAACAAGCAGAAAACATTATTAGCCACACTGCTATCAATTAATAATCAGTGCATGAGTGATGCTTTAATAAAGAAATTAATCTATTTCTTTAATTGAACATTGCGTGCATTGAATTGAAAAAAAAAACATTGAACAACCAATAAATCGTGTATTTTTTGTGTTATCTCTCTTTCATCGACGATGATCTATGCTAAGTGCGAAATATATCATCACATTTACAGTAAATATCTTTTCAAACTTATCATTTCAACGCCGCACATAGTGCTTTTGTCTTCGTTAAGTGTTTTTTTTTTCATTTCGTTGGTAATAAAAAACGCCAATTTTCTGGTGGCACCGTATATTTCGTTCGATTAATGTATTTTGCTCGAGTTTATTGAAAATTAATGAAATGTATGAAAAGCACACTGGCAAAGAAAGGGAAACATGTGGTGAAACGGGCGGAGAAAAGAAAAGAAAAGTAAAACGAATACCGAGGTACCGACATACATTTAGACAGACACATTGCTTGTGCTCATTGGAAAATCTGGGTTAAAATGGCAGATACTCATTGCAGAGAGAAAAAAACACTGAATAAACGATTTTTTTGTATTGAGCAAATAACGTGAACACTTTCGAAAAACAGATTGACGAAAACAAAAAGTTAAATAAAATTATAATCAAAACCAATATATTGCAATTGTTAGGTAAGTGTAAGTCAGACCGGTCGACGACTATGTGCCAATCCGAAAAAATTATAGAACCACGAAAGTAAACGAATATATTTAAATGTTAAAAATCAATCGCAATGGATTTGGCTGACAAAAAACTACTTTTCTTCTCTTTTTCTTCTTTTCTTCTGTATTCCTCTCGTCCCTGGAACTCAATATCAATTTCTATTTCATGGCTTTTTCAATTTCGGCAATTTATAACCCGAATTATTTATATAGGTATATAAAATGCACTTTTTCGACCAATTTTCGATTTAGACAAGACTGAACAAATAATCGTGCCGAATGTGTTTGAACGTTGCAACAGAACGTGAGTGAGTCGCCGGGCATTTCGGGAGGCTTTGTTTGAACAACAAGTCGAATACAATCGAAATATAAGCAAACATATTATTGTAGAATCTTAGATAGATTTAGACCAATCAATAGGATACTTAGATCCTACACTCCCCCTTTCTTTTTTTTGTTTTTACAAATTTTTGATTTTGTCAATACATAATTCATATTCTTCATTAATTTCACTTAAATCTAAGTCTCCATTGATTTCGATGATTTCGATGATTTCGATTTTACTGGCGTCGTTGTCGCGGATCAACATGATTCATGCAAATTATGAAGTTCTTTGACCGTTTGAATGCTGATATTTTTATTAGCACTACATGAAATGTAGAGCTACTAATTTTTTATTTAATTTAAAACAGTGGCAGTAACGACAAATAAGTGCATAATATCTCAAAGCGCCAATCAAATTTTTACTATCAAATGTTTTTTTAAATTACATAAATTTTTCGTATAGTATTTTCTGAGTCTTGAACAGAATTAAAGTGACTTTCGATTCTATGCTCATATTATTTATTTTATTTAAACCAAAGGCAGTATATTTGATATTTCAAAAAAAAATAATAAAACCAAGATCTTATAATTCATTTTGCAAATAAATATATTACTTCAAAGTTACTTTAATGAAATACATTTCATGTAGTGCGCCAAAAAATAGTTTGTTGTGAAACAACAAAATAGATTAAGTAACTAAAAACTCAAGAACGGTCTGCGGTCTTGTTTTCTTCTGTTCTTCTTTGTTGATTAATTTTCTCGAAAGCCTTTTCAGGTGATGTTCGCAGGTAGATAATAACATCTGGTATTGCTCGTAGATTTTTTTTTCGATGAACTCAAACCAAGCACCTAGAACTTCGACAGATGTTTGATCGATCAGGCGATTTTTTGCATTCTTTTTACAAAACAATGTGTTGCACTCAAAATCGATCTTTAGACTAATCTATATTTCGCCGTTAGAGATATGAGGCTGTGAGAATGAAAATGGCAATACAGGAATAAACATTCTGAAGCGCATCAAGAAAAAAAAATTCGCAAAAGTGAAGCATGAGTTCTGAATACGCAAAAGTGAACCATGAACCTCCTATGCTGCCCATGTAAATTCATGTTTCACTTTTGCATATTCAGAACTCATGATTCATTTTTGCGAATTTTTTTTCTTGATGTGTTTCGGAATGTTTATTCCTGTATTGCCATTTTCATTCTCACAGCCTCATATAGTCTTGTCGGAATACAGTTTCAGCATCGTAAGAGTCACATACGATTGGAAAGCAAGTCCATTTTTGTTCGGGTCTTCGTAACACGCTTTAAGAAGGTTGGGACCGTTCAGATTTTGCCATTCCTGAACTGGTTCTTCAAATACTTCGAAAAAATTCGATTTGGCTAAATATTGGATCATAGTGGATTAACCTGACCCAATGTTTCCTTCGACGGAAATTTTTAGTTGACTCTCTGCATTGTATCTACGCATTGCGTAGATGCGGCCCCACGGTTTCATTATCGGCTGAAGTTGATGTTTTGTTCGGTCCTTCATGCGCTTCGACTTTTTCGACATTGTAGCGATCTTTTCCATTCACCGACGTAACTTTTTTGGGTCCATAGTATTTTTCTTCAACTTGCCGCTTTTGTTATCCATCAAATGGCATTGCTTACAGAACGGTTACCTGTACAAACATGACGTTGCAAATCGCGATGTCCACTTTTTATTTACTAAATGGGCTTTAGATTATTTAAAGGCAGACCAGAGCAGCAGGTAGACTCTGCCATCAGTAGTGCATCTAATGCTGCGCTGCTTTGTTCAAAGGTTTCAATATAACCATCACAACCAGTTTTGGAGCTTTTGCTGTTGCGATTACATTTCGCATATTGCCCTTTTGACACTCATACGTTAAACACAACGATTGCTATTTTAAAACACTTTATTAAATTCGTTCAATGAACTTTCCATTAAAAATTTAATACTCGTTCAGTGCAACAAAGGCAGCAACCACATGACGGCACACGATACTTGTTGTCGCCTTTTTCACTCCGTAAATATTTGATGATGTTTTTGCATCCACAAAATATGAGAAACGATTACAATGTTTATTTGTGTAAATAAAGTTGAATGGTTATGTGTTGAATGGATCCTTGTTTTGATTGAATAAATGCGGATCTAGGCAGAAATCATAAAGAACTAGTGCACAAATGTGATACGTCTATTGCGTCAGCGCTCATTCCATTGAAGCATTTGCAATGAAATTTCTAGGTCACATATGCTTTCCATTCAATAATTTTTCTCTCTCTCTCTCTTTCTCTCTCTCTCTTTTGTTGAATATTTGCTTCACTTTGCTCAGATGATTGAAATTTGGGGGAACACGTGTCTCTACATTGTGTGCAGAACGTACTCCTGTTGTTCATAGATCTCAATTCATTACATATTTCAATAAAAAAGCAATTGAGTAAAATCTTTCGCAATTATATAATAAATGATAAACAAAACTATGGAAACAACAGTTCTCGATATTAAATTGATTGTATAGCCTAGTTTACATTTTTGATACAAGAAAAAAATCTGGTCACCAAAAGTCTGCACGTTTTTCATTCATCTTTTGTCAATGATTAAACACAACATCTTGTTCAAATAAGTATAGCAGCCATAACAGAGTGAGCCAGAATCAATTGTATTGTGGCTTTATTTCATGAAAATCATTATAAGGCGTATTTATAAGTAGATCATCGATACATGTTTTTTTGAATAGATTATTGTTCATAAAAACTATGGATACTTATGGATCAAAGTTTTGAACAGGCCGTCGGTTTAATAATAGCTAAATAAATATTATATATTAAATATATACTTCATTGGAAAGATCTCAAAAAGTAGATGTCATTTTTGGTACAAAACATCAAAATCGGCCGGCATTTGGCCAAGATATGGCCGTTTGAAAATTTTGGTTCAGAACTTTGATCCTGTTCAAAACTTTGATTTTGGCTCACACAGCTAAAAAGCCAGAAAATGATCATAGGCGGGCCAAATGTTATCTTCCAAATCTTCCATTCGGTAAGAATATCCAATACTAATTTTGAACTGCCAAATGTGCGAAAAATGTAGAAATAATATATTTTATAGGGGTATCCATAATTATGGCCTGTAGTGAATATTTTTATATGAATAGTTTGTACTATATAGTTCACCTTAGTTTACTTTACAGTATACTATATAGCTATCCCTTTTCCGCTCATTCATCATCGACGTTTTTCCGCGCAACTTTTCTATATTACATTTTCGATCCAAACTACTCATATATATATTGGTATGCTTTCTATTGCAGACTCCGACAGACGCACAATACATATTACCTCTTTTTGTCATCTTGAGTATTATTTATTTCACCGATACGAAGTTAGTAATTATTATTAAATCTGTTTTTTTAATTCTCTTTTCAGGTAAGAGACAATTTTTGGTCAGCTGTTGTGAATTTTGTATGAGGTATGGACTGAATTTCATTTCCAATGATATTATTGTGGAAACAATGAGTTCAAATGTGACTTAAATAGAGATAAAGAATGCTGAATGCAATCAAACGTTCGTTCCCGACGATGAATACTTAACCGAATGTTAATAGCTATTCAGTATAGTTGATTTATTAAGCCCGTGATTTTTTAATCGTCCATTGAAACGAATTCGTGTGATGCAAAAATCAAAGAATGATTCGATAATAGGAGAAAAGTATTGGTTTCCTTTCATTCCATAAGTATAATGTTCTAATTGGATATACTGACCCTTTTTAAGTCTCATTTGAAACGCACTTTTCATTTGGAGCATAGATTCTGACACCGAAAATTTCAGATAGGGTCAGATAAAAAATTCATGATGGGATCAAAAAAATAATTGTAGGGTTTTCGAAAAAAAAGGAAGACCAAAAGAAAGGTTTCCGCTTTGAAAAAATCAATGAGGTGTTGAACAAAAAAATCAATTCTATGTAGTGTACAATTTTGCTTTCAGAACAAAAGTGAAGACCTAAAAAAATGGGACCAAAACATTTCGTTAGGGGTCAAAAAATGCCAGCAGGGGTCAGGATCAACGAGATCAGACTATGTCAGAATTTATGATTTAGAGCACATTTAAAACGTATCCAAAGAAAATGTAGACATTCTACCCTAAGTGAAAAGACTGTTGAATGAACATTTATTTCCCACCTACACGCAAACGTACCAACAAGCCTAAATGCACATGCACACCAAGCCTGATTTTTTATTTCTTGTAGAGCTTAATAAACCCGTTTTTTTTCTTTTTGCATTTGCTGCGCTCTGTTTTAAGTCCCACAAATGAAATATTTTCTTTACCTTATTTATATATCGTATGAAATATATTTCAATGTTCAATTTGACTAAAGAAATGTGTTTTCTGTTAAGTTTTGCAAGGAAACCTAATGCCAAAATGAGTGTTAGTGAAGAATGTCAAATACACATTGAGAAGTTGGTGATATAAGAAAGCTCATGTTGTGATTCCGGCCATAGCTTGATATAGAAAAACGTAAGCTCAAACGAAAATAAAGTACAATAAAAATATGTTGAAAAAGAAACTGGTAGAAATGCGATTAAACAAGAGAAACCACAACAAAAGTACCAGTAATCCCAGAGTTAGAGAATGTGCACGTGAGCCGCATAACACACATTGAAAAAAGTTATCCACGTTCAATGTCAAAGTGAAAAAAATCTAATTTTACACAGCAAACGTTGAGCCCGAACAATATGATTTTGCATGTGCACGGTTTCTTTACACAAACGGCCACATACTGTTGACACAAAATCGACCATTCGTCAAATAAAGAAAGCTAATAATCAAATCGAGAAAAACAAATTAACAAACAAATGATTTCAAAGAAAAAAATTATTAAGGCGCCTAAATTGGTGACCATTTGTTGCGGAAAAAGAAAACTATTTTCTTTCCAATCTTTGATGGGATTCATTTTAACAGAACTTACCTCTTCGGATATGCAATGAGAAGCAAAAAGTGTAATTGGAGCTCAAACAATCGAAACAGATGTCATGTTGATTGATTTAAATTGAAATGTCATAATCTTTTCCTTGCTGTTGCCCGAAAAATATCTTCACGCAGAATTTGTTTTTAATTTTCGTTCATTGTTGCAAGTTTGGTCCAAGTTCGTAGCAGCAAATAAGTTTGAAATTTTACACACATAAATTTGTTCATTTCAAGTTGAGTACAACAAAAAACAAAAACAAAACATTATGGAAAAACTAACAACAAAGCGTCCATTAAATAAATGACTTGAAATTACCTTTGTGAACTGTATTTTTTCAAGAAATTAACTTTGGGACGCAGACGAAACGGTATTTTGAGCATCACATCGAAGAATTTAACAACATTTCGCAATCTATAATGTCGATTTGTTTTCAGTTTGTTGGATTGCATTCACACGGCAATTATTATAATTATGGCTCATCGTGAAATTGATTTGCATAATTTGATTAAGATATCACATTGGAAAGCAAACAAAAGAAGTAGCGCTGGCGTTTTGCGCGCCTGAACAATCATGAAATCATTAGGCCATAAACATTTCCACAAAAAGTCAATTTTATGATCGATTGAACGATAGCAAAATTCATAACAATGTACAGTACGCCCCCGCAAATTAGAAAAGAAATGTCCCGCGACCATTTCCAATTTGCGGAGTTTTCTAATTTCTGAGGTTTTTTCAATTTCATCCACAAACGGTGTATCAAATGAAAAACTGATAGGGGGAATGATTTGCTTAATTGAAAACGATATATTGAACACTGTTCAATCAAGTATTGTATGTAAATACATGCTTATAAGCAGTTATTTTAGTGATTGTAAATATATAGTAAGTCTGTTAGTTTATTTTACTGGATAAACTACTCCTCGGAACAAACCGAAATAAATGATGACCGGCTGTTCTTATTATATCATACGATAGTAACCAGAAAACGTTAGCATTCTATATACAATTTTGTATATGCAAATTCTCTGATGGACCAAATCGGTTTCGATTTGTTAATGATTGATGATTGACGCAGACAATATGGAACAGATTACTTCGTTACTTAATTTTTAACTTCATGGTAAACGTCGAAAATCCCAGCTGATCTGCTAATATAGTTATTCAACGAAATGGAAAAGACTTTCATTACGTTTTTTCATTAGAAATGAAGTAAATTTCGCTTTGTCTTGAATGAAATGATTCGGAAACCCCATGAATTAGAAATGAACCCCGGAAATTGGAAATTTTCCATACAAATTTTCAAACCTGAAATTCATTTCTAATTTCTGAGGTTTTCTAATTTTCGGGTTTCTAATTTGCGGGAGTCCACTGTATGTGCTTAATAGCAAAGAGATTTAAACGATGTGATTTGATGAAGTTGAGCTTGGCTTATATATGTATATAAATATATCGCATTCAATCTGATGATTGAATTGATTCGCATAATTTTTTTCTATACTATTTTTATGTATTTTGCACTAGTAGTTTTCTCCAAAGAGTTATTAAAAATAAACCCCAGTAAAACAAAGCAACAATAGTATGCAGTCGTGCTGTGATGGCATGTCTGAGTTCTTTTTTAAGTATCACCAAATATCCAAAAGAAGAGAGTGGACGAAAAATGGAACAAACGCTGCTACATACAGCTAAGACGTTATCGGTTGGTTATGCATAGGCATTTCTATTTGCATTGTAATTCATATCAATTATTGCATGGGCAGTTGAATAGCATCGCATTTACTATTATATGTCACTGTTTCATATATGATTAAGCTGTCATATGACCAATGGCTGTGTATTTTTTTCTGCTGAGTCGAAAACTATTTTAAGATACATGCATACTTTTTATGTTTCGTTCGGGAGAGAAAACAATAATGACATAATCATTTCGAGCTCAGCACTTCGAAATGAATTGAATCAATTGCAATACCCCTGGTTGAGAAACACAATCACGACCATTTTTACTTTCAAAAATATTTACTAAATGATGGTCAAGCGGACGCATTTCGTCAAAATTGATGTATAATCACATAATTGATCGCAAATGATCGCGTACATTATTTGGTAGCGGAGACAGTGGCTCAGTCGCATTTTGAGGAGAGGAATGCAAGGAAAAAACATCAAAATGAATTAAATTAAATCGTATGTGACGAATACAGTCGCCGGCGAGCTGCTTCGACATATATTTATATATATACTTATATCACAAAAATACGGTTCTGTTGCCAAGTACAAATGACTTCTGTTAGATGTTTCGCTATGTACCTCTTTCTCTTTTTCCCAATCCCATCGCTCTCCCGTTCGCATTATAAATTCGCGTTCAATTTCGTTCGGGAGACTGTTTTGCTTAGGCTACGATAGAATTCGCTTTTTTGACTAGTCGTCATTTGTCATTTTTCGTTCTCTAAAACTTTATCTCTCTTTCTACACATATTTTTCATTGCATAATTTTGACAAATCCGTAGAACTTAGAAGATAGCGCTGTCTCCTGTTTCTGTTACTGTGACTTTAAATTTGTATGTGACTCGCTCGTTGGTCAATGAAAATTGACAAATGTCGGTTTTTTCCGTAGAATAAAAAAACATGCATCAATTGAAGCACACAAATGAAAATGATTCGTTTACTGTGTTTGTGTGTATTTAGTAGTCTATATGTTAGCTGTCAAAATGCGCAACTACGGAACGCTGCCACCATGATATTCATCAAATCATAAACGGCAAATTACTACACATATCGCTTTCGCCGCATATTCGTCTACGTTTCTTGGCTGTTCATTTTTACGTGAATCAAAATGTACAAATTCAACCGATTCGACAACTTCGATTTCTTTCGGTTCTGAGCGCTAATCTGAAAGTTTGTTTTGCTTTTGTTCATGCGCTCTTTTGCTTGATTGCTTGCGTTCGTACATGCCTTTGTTCGTTTTCGCTTGCCTTAAATGCCAATGCTAAAAAAATCGAAGATATCGTACGTTTTGAGTCATAGCATTTTTAGGTAACGATCATTTCGTTGTTGCCATTCATTTCATAACACACGCTATCGTTTCAAGCGCTCAGCAAAACTCTGCAGAATTGACATAAAATTTGCATGCCACTCTCTAATTTATACATATTAAATAGCTAAAATCAGTTAATTTTGGGGTTTCAGCAGTTTCATTGTGTGTTGCAACGTAATATTTCGCCATAGAAATGATTCTGTCTACTTATTTAATGAAAACCATAATCATTGTCACCGGTTCAGCGCGAACAAATTCCAACATATTTATATATACGCCCTTTCGCAAAACGACTCACTCATTTCCAAAATTATCTTCTTTTTTTGGTTTTGTTCAGCTGTGAGATTTTGGACTTTGGCCTTGGATTTCTGAATTTGGGATTGGGATTGGGATTAGAGATTCCCTCCAAGAAAAAAAATACAAAAGTCCATATAATACAGCAGAATTTTAGTCGAATTTTCCTCCGTTCCAGACACTCGGATTTTACAATTTTCATATTTTACGCGAACTAGCAACATTGAAAAATTTAGAAAAAAACGCTTAGATTAAGATGAATATTCAAATCTTGGCAAATTTGCCGAAATGAATTCGGGTAGGGCGATTTCAATTGTAGATTTTATGTACTTTAATGTAGTGTTTTTACTTTTTTTATGTAGGAACAATTTTTTTGAGTAATCGGCTATCGAAAAACTGCTATAAAATGGGACAACTCAAATCTTGAATTTTTTTTCGAATGAAGAATGGTTCCAAAAAATTGTAGATAAATTGTAGAATTCAAATCAATTGACTGTTTTCAAATATGTCTGCCCGTTCGTTCGATATCGGGACGAGTCTTGAAAATTGGTCCAAAATCGGTAATACTCAAATCTTGGCCCCAAATCGATCATTCCACAAACTAAATCTATTTTCTATTGTTTCTAGGTCCATAAAATTGTAAAAAAAATGTAGAATTCAAATCAATCGTCTGATTCTTGATGTTTTCAACAACTTATTTGACAACAGCAGTGTTTTATTTTTGTAGGGAGAAAAAATGCTCCAAAACTGGTCCAAACTGTTTTATTAATTGTAGTAACCCAGAATTAATTTTAGTGACCCAAAAATAATTGTAGAAGCAACTACAGTTATTGTAGTGGTCGAAAATTAATTAACAATTACAATAACTGTGGTTGCTTCTACAATTATTTTCGGGCCACTACAATTAATTTTCGACCACTACAACAACTGTAGGTGCTTCTACAATTATTTTCGGGCCACTACAATTAATTCTTGGTTACTTTAATTATTAAAACACGTTTTATAGCAGTTTATAGCAGTTTTATTCCCATATTAAATATTAAACTCCCCTGGAGCCAAATAAGTTGTTGAAAACATCAAGGATCCGATGACTGATTTGAATTCTACATTTTTTCTACAATTTTATGAAACCTAGCATCAAAAGAGGAAGATTCAGTTTGTGGAAATTTAAATTTGTGGCCAAGATTTGAGTATTACCGATTTTGGACCAATTTTCAAGACTCGTCCCGATATCGAACGAACGGGCAGACATATTTGAAAACAGACAATCGATTTGAATTCTACAATTTATCTACAATTTTTTGGAACCATTCTTCATTCGAAAAAAAATTCAAGATTTGAGTTGTCCCATTTTATAGCAGTTTTTCGATAGCCGATTACTCAAAAAAATTGTTCCTACATAAAAAAAGTAAAAACACTACATTAAAGTACATAAAATCTACAATTGAAATCGCCCTACCCGAATTCATTTCGGCAAATTTGCCAAGATTTGAATATTCATCTTTAGATTATCGAAAACCCCAAAAAAATATTTTCAAAACTTATTTTTGGGGCACATTTCAAAATTTGGAAAAAAATAAATTAATATTCTTTTCGCTAGAGATCCCATCAGTTAATTGCATAATACAGCTCTTTCACCACAGCTCAAAATGAAACCAAAACATATTTATTCATTTTATTCATATTTGCGTGGAGATCTTTCGATAATCTGTTATATGAAAAATATGTTTAATGACGCTCACACATGACCCTACTAACTACTGTCGTTTGAAATGACGTTTCGTACCTTTTTATTGAAAATGAAAGGTAAAGACATTTAAATTGAATTTGAAATTTTTAAGTGCGCCACAATCTCGCGCGCGTTTCATGAGCCTTGCTTAACCACAAATTTATATCCTCCAGGCACATGGAACATACGTAACAATTATACACGTTTGACACTCAATCACTAAAACAAACCAGCAAAAATGAAAGACTCACGATCAACACAAGATTTCATGTAAGTGAAGCAAGAGAAACTGTACCAACCATAAAAAACAAAAGTGCTTCGGCCGAGTATATTTTGTATGATACTCAATATTTTCAAGCATCTTTCATTCGCCTAATTGAATGCTGATGAAAATCAAAGCAAAGTGGAATAAAGTCAAAAGACTTCTATTCATTTTGATTTGTTAGCAATAATGAATTTTCATGTTTCGAATATCGTGCATTTAAGTTGCAGCAAATCACAGTTCTATATCCTACATTGAACGTAATCTGTATTGCACCAGCCATTGAAAATGCGTTTGAATATCAGTCATTGCGTGTTAGATATGCAACTCTAGTTGAGCTATAAAGATAAGCGAACCCACGGCAACGAACAACAACATCAACATCAACATCAACAGCGGTAATAACACCGGTAATCGATATAGTCACGATATCAAAACGTCCGTGTTCTACCTTCTATCTAGATTCCACACAAACAAAGATATGATCAAGCCACAGGCAATAAAGCCGTTAGTTAGTCTTACCAGTAAAGGTCCCTCGTTTACACTAAAATTTCAGCAAATGCCCATGCGCATGAATTATCGCTCCAAACATCAACAAAAAAAATTTACGTCCCCGTTTTTAGGGGGAGGGCCCCTCCCGGATAGGTGGTTCTACAGGGGGTTTGAAGTTTGAAAACTTGGTTTTTCCGGAAACTATAACTTCCAAACGGCTGGAAATTTCTAAGAAGTGTCTTTGGAAAAGTTGTAGATCTCGTCAAAATTGAAAAATTTGTTGAAAAATCATCCCCAAAAAACCGCTCAAATGTCATCCCAAAACTTGGAGATATTTGAATGACCCTATAGCTTGTGTTTTGGGGATGAAGTGTTCAGCAAAGTTTTTAATCTTGATCATATCTACAACATTTCCTAAGATACCAAGTGAAAATTGTCAGCCGTTTAGGAGTTATAGAGTCGGGAAAATCTACACGGCTGGGAAGAACTGGAATAAAAAAAATTAAATTTTTTTTGAGGAGGTTTTGAGCGATAGTCCATCGAATGCGCATATGCATTAGCAAAAATTTTAGTGTAAACAAAGGACCTTTACTGGTTAGTTTAATTTTGAGTAATATTTTGTTGTTATTTATAACATCTTTTCCGTGGACCCACACACTCAATATTATAGCGACATCTACTATTAAAATAGCTTGTAATAAATGCATTTATAGCATTTCCCTGTAGTTGCGATGTTTCCTATTAAGTTCCCTTGTAGTACTGACACATTCATGTTTGACACTTATTAACTACATACCACAGGGGAATTTAATAGGTAACATCGCAACTACAGTGAAATGCTATGAATGCATTTACTACAAGCTATTTTAATAATGGATGTCGCTATAATATTGAGTGTGCAATGATCCATTTCGTGTGTTCAGCTTGGCATGCTTCGAGCGATCGCAAATACACACATAGATCGAATTGCGTTATCGACGACTCACCTTGATGTGTGCGGTTTGAAGTTTTGAAAGTCAAGTGTAGCCGATAGAAACACACAATGACCATTTATTTTGAATAGATTGAGTTGAAGTTTTATTTGAATTCTTATTTCAATTTGAAAATAAACAAATAAAATTAACATATTTACTCATCACACTCAATAAATTCATTATTCTTCACGAATTTTATTCGTACCATTACGAATTTATATATAACAGCTTGTATATGTAGAGCTAGGGGGTAAAATCATTTTTTTCATCTTTTATATCCGCGCGCATCAAGTAATAACTTAGAAATTCAATGGTATGCATGTAAATCCGAAATATCCATGTATACTCAACAAAATCAGTCGCACAGAAAGCAGTTGTGAAGCCGTGCTGTTTGCACATCGGACTTTTTCGCATACACATCGTCGTTCATCGTGTTTCATACAAACGAAATCAGCACACAGACACACGCGTGTATGCGTGTATGTATACGCCGAACGCTCAAAGCCGAGTTCCGTACGAAGCACGACTTCACTGTGATGGAATGAATTACTAGAGAGCATTCGGCACATAAGAAACACGATGAACGGACGATGTGTATGCGAAAAAGTCTGATGTGCAAACAGCAAGGCTGCACAACTGCTTTCTGTGCGACGGATTTTGTTGAGTATTCAACAATATTCATCGTGAACGACAAATGAATATTACTGAATATACATAGATATGTCAAATTTACGTGTATACGTATGAAAAATATAAATAGTAGCAAATAGTAGTGAATCAAACCTTCAACCGTAAATTTGAACGATTTTGGTAGATAACGGTGAATATTGGAACATTTTTTGACATTACAGTCTAATGAATATTATTAAATATACATAGATATTTGAGATTGACGTGCATACCAGTAAATTAGTGCAGATTGTATGTCAAAAAAGGCTCCAATATTCACCGTAATCCACCAAAATCTGCCAAAATCCTTCAAAAGTGGTTCAAATTTTCGGTTGAAGGTTTGATTCACTATTATTTTTATTTTTCAGAGTTATTTGCGTTCTTCAAAATAGCGTGAAGCCCCCAGATGTAGAGTCATTTCCATTAACACTATGACTGTTCTTCATATTTTTTACCTATTACTGTTCTTGGGGGCCTCCAGGGCCCCATACGTATTTCATATGAAATCTGGACTGTTATAAGAGATAACAAATTAGTGTCTGAAGCAAAGTTGTAATACTCGAGGTTTGCTACAATTTTGTTGCAACAAATATTTCTTATCTCTTATTAGTTCCGCGAAAAACGCGAAAAAACGCGAAAATCGCGAAAATCGCGAAATTTTCCCACCTCGTTTTAGTGAAGCCGATAAGAAGTAAGAGACTTGCCTCTTAGACAGAAATGTAGAGCGGGTTGAGAACTACCACTTTGATACAGACACCAAGTGGTTATCTCTTATCAGTTTCGCGAAAAATGATAAGCAAAAACTCGCGTTTTTCGCGTTTTTCACGTAACTGATAAGAGATAACGACTTGATGTCTATAGTGAAGTTGTAGTACTCAAGCTGCTCTACAGGGCTGTAGCCAGGATTTTTCCTAGGAAAGTGTGGTTCCACTTTACCAAGTGATAACTTGTTCCGATAAAACAACTATTTTGAAAAAAAAAGTGGGCTGGCTTTTGGACATTTTACAAGTTATTGGTCAAAAACCTCGAAAATTCGCGAAAAATCGAAATTTCAAAAAGTGGTCCGATTTGGACGAAAATTGGTACACAATACAAGTGGGGCAATAGAAGAATTTTGGCATAAACTGGTCCAAAAAACTGATCCGAACTGGTCCGAAATTGTAAAAAACGATTTTCGGACCAGTTCGGATCAGTTTTTTGGACCAGTTTAAATGCCAAAATTCTTCTATTGCCCCACTTGTATTGTGTACCAATTTTCATCCAAATCGTACCACTTTTTGAAATTTCGGTTTTTCGCGAATTTTCGAGGTTTTTGACCAATAACTTGAAAAATGTCCAAAAGCCAGCCCACTTTTTTTTCAAAATAGTTGTTTTTTCGGGGCAAGTTATCACTTGGTAAAGTGCAACCACACTTTCCTAGGAAAAATCCTGGCTACAGCCCTGCTGCTCTACAACTTTGCCGAAGATACCAAGTCGTTATCTTTTAACAGTTTCGCGGAATACGCGAGAAACCGCGAAAAAACGCGTTTTTTTCCTTATAATTTTTCACGGAACTGATAAGAGATAACGAGATGGTGTCTGAGGCAAAGTTGTAGTTCTGGTCTAGTATGGAGTACTACAATTATTCCGATTCATTATTTCGTTATCTCTTATCAGTTCCGTTAAAAATGGTAAGGAAAAAACGCGTTTTTCCGCGGTTTCTCGCGTATTTCGCGAAACTGATAAGAGATAACGACTTGTAGTCTTCGGCAAAGTTGTAGAACAGCTTGAGTACTACAACTTCGTTATAGACACCAAGTCGATATCTCTTATCATAGTCCAGTTATAATATAAAATAGCCATGGGGCCCTGTAGTCCCCCAAGAACAATCCAGCGTAACATGTTTTGCGGCAGGCTGTATTTTACACATACTCACACATATGCATATGTGTATATGTCATTTGTGTAGAGAAATGTTCAATCTATACAATGAGACTTAACTCCGGTTGGTTTATACACTGTTTTGTACTTTTATTCAACTTTAAATTTCGCTGGGGGCCCTGGATGCCCCAAGAACAGTCATAGTGTTAATATCTGTTACAAAGAAATGTC